TGGACTACTTGTATCCTCTATGATCAGGGTGCAATGAAGACAGCTGAGTGTTACTGAAAGGAGAGGAACAAGAATCTGCTGCAGCCAATTGTGGTCTTTTTAAAAAGCAGGCTAAATAAGCAGCTATTGAGTTAATATACATAAAAAGAATTCATCAAGTGACTACAAACATTTATAAGTACTGACATGGTGTTCGATTTGGTTCAACAATCATTTATTGAGCTCCAGTTATATGCAAATTTCTGTAGATTCAAAGACATGTCATACCTCTATCCTCAAGAAACTTCACAGATTGAGTATTATGGCAACACAGAAGTGGGAATTTACATAAGCCTGAGGAGCCAGGAAAGGCTTTATTGAAGAGACACTTGAATTTAAGGTTTGGATAAGAACTATCTAAGTAAAGAAGGAACTCAGTAAAGACACGGGTGTGAAATGGTATCTAATGTTTGTACAACCAGAAGCAGTTGGACAATTCTAGAGCCCAAAGCAGGGCAGGGAAGAGTGATAGCATAAAATGAGCTCCAATCAGAGGGCCTTATTCCGTACACTGTTGGACTTCAGACTAAACTAATGGACTGTCATTGAAGAACAGATCAACCTGGGAACCAAGGCCAAGGGGGAATTTGAAATTGGGAGGCAGAAAGACTAATTATGAGTTGGTTGAAGTAATTTAAGAAATGATGAGAGCCTGTACAAGGAATGTACAATAGGAATGCATCAGACAAGCCATATTCCAGAAAAAAAATTGAGGCTGTTCAGTGATGTTATCTGAGGGGTGGGGCTTCCTGATCTAAATATCTCTTTTAGGGCCTCTCCTATGCCTGACACTTACAGTATCAGAGGTTCCTTCTGCAGGGTTTGAAGAGGACCTTACTAGACTGGAGTCGATCAGTGCATTTTTAGTGTCGGTCAACTAACATTAAGGTGTATTATACAAGTTTAATGAGTAAAGAAGGCCTTGAAGGGAAGAACATGCCTCATCATGAGGAGAAGCAAGCAACACAGGGATAAAGCGAAACAAAAGTTAAAACATTCAGGCCACTAAAAGGCAAAGAAACTTCACCATTGGCAGACAAAAAAGTCACCATTTTATCTGGTTGGTTCTTCTCGGCTACAAAATCCATTCTCAGTCAGGCTGAGTATACCATTCCAAAACTCTTCCATATACATAAGAGTAATAATAAGGATGATGATAAAATGAGCCCTAGCAAATAAAGAAATGTGACTTCTGAGCTAAGAAACATCATAAAGACAGCAATTGGACTTTTATAAAGTTCCTTAGAAATCAGGTCACCTCAGATCTTTCCCCTGTGACTTATCAGTGAAATACTGGCTCCTCTATTTTCATTTCCAATAAGTGTTATGTTTAACTTGGAAATCTGACAAGTACCAAGAACCCTGCCCCATAGTTCACGGTATTACTGGGAGGATGAAACAGGACAAAAAGAGGCAAAAGCTTATGTGCATTGTAAAGTGCTAAATGATGGTAATAAACAGCCCTCTTGCTCGAAGGAGAAAAAAGTACAGGTGGGATCTCCGTGTCATAGCCCTTTCAAGGACTACTCAGCAATGATTATCATAAAATTTTAGTTCTTCAAATGTGATGAGCAGAGCCCATAGTACTTTAAACACTTTCCTTAAGAATCAAGATTAACACACACTGTGAATTTAAAAAATAACACCTAAGAACAGACACTAGTACATTTCTAACAAATGAACTCTTTCTATAAAATCAGTTTCTATAATGAAACTCTTCTGTCACAAATAAGCATGTTAACAGAGGAATTTATATATGACTAGATTATTTGAATCATATTTTGTTAGAATTAGGAAAGGCTTAGTTTATCTCTATTAACGGTCTTTCCAGCCTCTTCCCCTCACCAGTCTTTCTTAAAACAGGAAAGCTGAGATAAAGGTTGAACCCAGACTAAACTAGATTTCCTGACTCGGTCTAAAGCTCTCTTTTCTATAATTTTTTATAAAATATTTCAAATGTAAAGAAAAGCCTAACAACAAATACCCAGATTTTTTAAATGTTAACATCATATGCTTCAAATCTTTTTTGACAGGAAATGGCACTTTAATGTTTTGTATCTATTTAAAAAAAGAATTAAAACATTATATATCAGCAAATGATGCCCACTCCTCTACCTCATTCTCCAGAAATAACCACTATATTAAGGTTGTGGTATATTCTATTCTTCCTGTTCATGTTTGCATACACTCAAATGATTATATATCCATAAACCACACCATGTTGCCACAAAACGAGATGGTCTTCAAAACAAGGAGGAGTCCCTTATTCTAGCACACTTGCATGCAATTCAAACCTTTGGGGCTTGGCTGGGTATTACAAAAAGAAACTAGGGCAGAGCTTAAAGTCTTTTTTAATGATTACCATAGAAGGATCTAGTGGCGTCTTAATATTTAGAGTGAAAAATAAATTAGGTAAATATAAAAATTTAAATACAACTTTTTTTTTAATCCTTCTCACATTAGCACTGCATATTTGTGAAACCCTGGTTTGTAATGGCCTAGTGTGAATGACCTGTCACTGAACAATAGGGAAAGATAGATTAAGCAATTTATCTAGTAATAATAGTTTCTACTTCTGCTTCAAGGTCCAGCTCAAATGTCACCACCTTAATGAATCTGTCCTTGATCCCATCAGAATTAATTCCTTCAACAGTCATTTACTGAGTGCCAGAGCCCTGTAGATACAGAAGCAGATCAGACCCAGTTCCTGCCCAGGGCTCAGAAATAATTACACAACAGCTTTTGATAAATGCTCTAACAGAGGTATCCATAAAGGGTTAGTGAAATCTACACTTTTCCTGGAGCAATTGGAGAAGACATTACAGAGGAGGTGATATTTGAGCTGCATCTTGCAGGATGAGTTAGGAGCTCACGAAACAGATGAAGGTCATTCCAGGTAGGGAGACATTGAATGAGAGGGCACAAAGGATGGTAAGTTATCAGTTTTAGAAAAACAACTAAGGATAGACATCAGAGGTACAGGGGTTAGAAGACTAACAACAATTCAAGCAAAAGATGATGTGATTGTAGGCATGAGGTGGGAGGGGGAAGGATTTTAACAAAATTTAGGAGATAAATTTAGCAGAATTTGATGCTTCCTTGGAGGGAAAGAACATGGAAGAGTTGGGGATGACTCTCAAAGGCTTGGCAAAATGAGTGGGCAGTGAGACCATTAGCTAAAGTAGGAAATACCATACAGGAGATAAGAGGCCTGGGGATGGGGGGGGTCAAGTTTCCTTTGAGGCACTTTGAGTTAGCGATGAGACCTCTTTCTTGGGCCTCAATTTCCTTTTCTAGGCCAGAAATCACCTCTTTCTCAGAATTCCATAGCATAATGTATACCTTTTCCACAGATTTAAATCTGCTGTATCTGTAAGTATTTACAAGTTTGTCCCTACCTTAAACCATGAAGAAAAAGTATTAGGTTTTGTTCTAAGTGTATTGTCCTTATCTCAGAGCCTTACATACAAAAAGCCTCAGCCAAAGTTTGCATTCCTGAAAAGGGAGCTCCATCAGATAACTACAAACTGTTAACATTTATCAAAACAATGGCCAAAACTCGTTGAGTTACTGACTTATATAAACTATCTGAACCATTTGGTCTGCAGCACCTACTTTTAGACCGTTTCGTGCTTATCTTACTTTAAGTAGGCTCTACGCCCAGCGGGGAGCCCGACATGGGCTTGAACTGAAGAGCCTAAGATCAAGACCTGAGGTGAAGTCTGATGCTCAACCAACTAAGCCATGGGGACACTTCCCCCTTCCCTCCATCTTATCTTACTTTTAAACAACCCTGCAGGGTAGCCGTATTCCTATTTTACATATAAAGCAACAGAAGGTCAGAGCGTCTGAGTAACTTTCCTGGAGTCACGAGGTTTGCAAGTTGCTTAACCAGGACTTGGGCCGACTGGTTTCTTCACCAGAGTTAAGCTGTTCCTTTCCGATTCCCAGTTGGGCTGAAAAGTGGATCTTTGTCTCCTCAGGGGGCAGCACTCTCTGGATCCGCGGGAACTGCGAGAGGGGCCTTGCCCCATCATCTCCGCGGGTCTAAAGCGCCCCCCCCCCCCCCGCCCAGGAAAGTGCCCATGCGGGCACACCCACTGCAGACTGCAGAGCCGAGAGGCGGGCCCAATGGTCCGGAGTGTGAGCCCCGAGCCGGGGCCCCAGCGTTTTGTCGTATTCACTCCACGCAAGCGCATGGGATCCCTTGACCCTTTGCTCAAGCTATGCCAGAGCTGGCCAGGCTCGGACCCCGAAGCCCGGGGTGGCCGCGTGCGGCCAGGGTCTCCCAGCCTGGCCCCGGGCGGGGTGGGGCGGCCCTAAGTGCTCACAAATACGGAGCACTGGAAAACAGTGGTGCAGTTACTGCTCTTGGGACACTGAAGCTCGTCCCGTACCTTCCTCCGCAGTCCCGTGCGGTGGGCCGGCCCGGCTGGCAGCCCCGGTTCCGCCGACCGGAGACCGAGGTCTGGGCGAGGAGAAGCCCTGCCCACTGGCGGCGGCGGCGGGAACCGGCCCCGCGAGGGTCCGACCCGCCGGGCCAGGCATTTACCTCAGACCGCGCCGCTGCCCACCCCCGGAGGCCGCGCTCAGGGGCTCCCTCGCCGCCTCTCCGGGTTCTCGGTCCCGCCACACACCTCCGGCCAGGAACCGGACGGCGAGGGCGAGTGAGAGGCAACAGAACGCTTCTGGGGACCCGCAAAGGCCGCAGGCGGCAAGCAGCGGCAGCTCAGGCGTGCGGCAGAGGCGCGAGGGCTCGGGGCGGTCCCGCCGGTGGAAGGGGCGTGCCCTAGCGCGTGCGCAAAGAGGCGCGAAGGGCAAGGGGCGGTGCCACCCGCGAGGCAGGGGAAGGCGCGAGGAGGGGGCGTGCCTCACGTGAGCCCTCCGGAGGCGGAAGGTGAGGGGAGAGAGGAGAGAGCGTGCGTAGACCTGGTTGTCAGCTCCTCCTCTTTCTGGGGGCAAAGGGTAGGCAGTACTGGTCTGGACCTTAGCGCGTCGTCCGTGCTTGCAGACTCCAGCCATGGCGGGTCCTGAGTGGGAGTCTCTGGAGAACAGTTTGGAGAAGCACCTGCCTCCTGCAGACTTGCGGGAGGTGAAACGCGTTCTCTATGGCAAGGAAACCAGGTCTGGGGCCCAGAGGTTGGGGTGGGGAGACCTTGGGGCCAGGGAGTGTGGGTCTGGGGAACCAGGGAGAGTGCTTCAGGATCTGAAGGGTTCTGACGGGGCGATGGAGATCTGAGTTGTTGAGCAGAAGCCTTAGGAGATCTAGATGTGATGGCTCTGGGCCTCGGGGGTTGCATAACCCCCAAGTGACCTTTACAAGCCAGTTCTCCCCTTGTTGCCCAGAACTCGGAAGGGAAAAGAATCTGGAAGGGAAAGTACAGGTTTTTACTCTCTGTCGTTTTCTCTGTGGCCACCCAGCTCTCTACCTACTTCCAGGGACCAGCTTCTTCCCCAGATGCAGGCCTATGCTTTGGGTGTCTGTCTGGGTCAGTGCCTCAGCCAGAGCACCTAGCAGGTCACCTGACTGTCCAGGCCCAGCCCCTACTTCCTGCAGTGGCTAGGCCTCTGGCAGATCCTTGGAGGTAGAGGCTGGCTGAATCTGGTTGAGTAGGAACCTTACCCACTGGCAAGCCATAGGAATTAGTTACCACACTCAGTGCAAATGTTTTTCTGCTCCCAGCCAGTCGTGTGCATCACTAGGACTAGGTTAGTGCACTGCTGGAACTGGGTATACAAAGCTGGAAGACACTTTCACTCTTGTTTCTCTTCAGTCCATTTTTCTCCAAGCAACCCGAAGATGTAAATCATATCTTGTTGCTCCTGTGCTTAAAATTCTGTGAAGGAGGGGCACCTGGGTGGCAGAGTTGGTTAAGCATCTGCCTTTGGCTCTGGTGGTGATCCTGGGGTGCTGGGTTCCAGCCCCAGAGTTGTCAGGCTTCCTGCCCAAAAGGGAGCCTGCTTTTCCCTCTCCCTCTGGCCCTCCCCAGTCATCCCTTGTGCATGCATGCGCTCTCTCTCTCAAATAATGGATAGAATCTTTAAAACAAAACAAAACAAAAACTCCTCTGTGAAGGAGTCCCATGGCTCTTAGAGTGAAATCCAAACTCTGACCCCATGCAGCTCCTGAGATCATCTCCTTCCACTGCTTTGCTCACTGGTGGGATCCCCCATTTCCCCCCACCCAAGCCAGACTGTGCACTTCCTGACCTTGTGGCAATGACCTTGAGGCAGGAACCTGATCAACCTGAAACTCAAGGGTGTTGATTGGAACAGTGGTTCCCAGCCACTGGCTGCACTGGAGTTACTGCAGGGAGGCCTGATCTCAGACCTAAGAGAACATAAAGTGAACTTGACCATCCGCTAGTGAGCAGAGCTAGTGGATGGTAAAGGCAGAACAACTGCCTTTGGGGGTAGGAGTGGTAGAGAACTCTGTCGAAAAGGGCTCTTCATACCCAAAGAGGGATACCTGGGAGTGGATGTCCTTTAAGTTTTCTCCAGTGAAATCATGCTGACCTACTGCTTTCCACCATACCTGTCAAGAGGGAATCCTCTTAGAGTTAAAGCAAGAGGGTCTTAGGATGGGATAGTTTTGTTTGTGTGTTTTAAGGATGAGGTGGACATGTTCTTCTGGGAACAGATGGAGAGAGTTTGTGGTGTCAGGGGTAAAGCACAGAGTCTTAGGAAAAGAGAAATAAGTTTCCCATATAGGTGACTGGCTGGGGCACATTCTAGAGACTGGGATAAGGACTGTCTTGCAAAAGGGACCTTATGTGAGCATTTGGATTTCTCCAGAGTGGGTAGGAATTATAATGCGTAGTAAAATGAGAGCCAACACCCATTGGCTGGTGGTGACTGGGCCCCATCAAAGGGCTTGGCTTACCATAACTGTTCAAAAAAGGTTCTATTCCACTCAGTGCTGAGGCCTTTCAGGCTTTACTTCTAGGGTATTAGCCAGTGTGCTTGCTCAGTGCCTGCAACTGGGTGGGATTTGGCTATGCACAGGATTGTGAACTGAAGAGGGAAAATTGTTAGTCATTTAAAAACTCTTTTCTCACTTAAACTCCTGCTCACTTCTTATACCCTGACTGCCATGGCCACCTCTGTGAAGGAAGGGCTGTTGGAGCCCGAGTCCTCAGCCCCTCTTCGGGGCTCCTGACTGCCTTCCACACAAGGCCAACCTTCTCTCCCGATTACTTGCTGTGCCAAACACAAAGAGACGCTTAGTAAATGTTTAAGTGTATGAGCTAAATGGGCTTTTGCCTGGGCCAGGCAGCTGAAATCCTCAAAATACATGGACTCTCAATTTTAAGACAGCCAGAACCAAGAAGCATTTATTCATTTAACATTTATTGTATGTTTATTTTTGTCCTGGACACTAGGAGTACAAGGATGAGTAAACCACAGTTTCCCTAGAGGGGCTTTCTGCCTTTTCATGGTTGTCGTACATGGTGAGAGAAGGATGCAAGGCGGGCTGGAGAGAGTGTACGTGAACAGAGGTGGGGGTGGGTCAGGAAGGCTTCCCAGGGGCGCCATGCTGAGACTGTATCCTGAAGGAGATGGAGAAGTTGGTTTGGAGACAGGAAGGGCTCAGGTACTCCGGATCAAGGCCCAGACACCAGGGAGCATCTCATTCAGGGATTACAGGTGTAGATTGCTGTGGGGGGAGGGTAGGGGGAGGCAAAGTAGCTGTCGTAGGCCCAGGGGTCCTGTACACCATGCTAAAGCAGCGGGACCTGTCCTAATGGTGGTGGGAGTCTTTAAAGAATTTGAAAAGAGCAGGTGAAAGATGAGGAGGTCTAAAGTAACAGAGTTACTTTAGGGGGAGAATCCTTCCTTGCCTTTTCTAGTTTCTGGTGGCTTCTGACATCCCTTAACTTGTGACAGCATCACCCCAATCTCTGCTTGTGTCTTCACATGGCCTTCTCTTCCCCCTGACTGTCCTCTGGGCATCTCTTACAAGAATACTGGTCACTGGATTTAGGGCTTGCCTGTATAATCCAGGATGATGTTATCTTGACGTCTTTAATTATATCTGCAAATGTCCTTTTTCCAAATTAGGTCTCATTCACAGGTTTTGCATATAGGATGTGGGTGTCTCGTCAGGGGCCACAGTTCAACCCACTACAGGGACTGTGCAGAGGTGGTCCTCACTGGGGGAGGCTGGTACTGGGATTGTCCTCATTCCAGGAGGAAGAGTGGGTGCGGAGTGGGAAAGGCCTGGGAAGGGAATCGGGAGAACCTGCTGTTAAAAAAAATCCCAGGAAGTGAAGACTTTGCATGGTACTCCAAGAGGTGAGGAAGTAGGGATCAGGGATCTAGGGCAAGTATTAAAGACACCAAGCAGGATAGGGACAGAGTGTCAGGTGGTATAGGGAGGTCTAGAAGGCTGAAGACAGGAGTATGAGGCTCTCCCTTTGCTAAAGCCAACCAGAAGGCTGGTGGAAATTCAGAGTGGGGAGTGGGCCCCAGGGAACAGGCGGCCGAGGGAGGTGTGGGAGGTGAGGGCTTTGGGGAAGCTCCCTACTAAGGGGAGGTGAGGAGTGCAAGTGAAGTAGCAAGAGGACCTGTGTCCTTTTTTTTTTCCCCCCTCTGTTATTTATTTATGTAATGGGAAAGATTCAGATAGCTTTTTTTTTTTTCTATTTTGAGAGAGACAAAGAGCACATGAGCAGGGGGAGGGGCAGAGGGAGAGGGAGAAGTAGACTCCCCAAGGGCACAGAGACCTAGGAGGCAGGGCTCGATCCCATGACGCTGAGATCATTACCTGAGCGGAAGTCAGGAGTTTAGCCAACTGAGCCACCCACATGACTCTAAAGCAGCTTTAATGGTGGATGTGGTAGGTCTGGAGGAGACAGGGAGGAATGTCTGAGCATATTGTTAATAAGAAAGGCAAGTAGTAGAGCAGAATATACAGGACACCAATCTAGTTTACACACGTAGAGGAAAATATCAGAAAAATACCTACATTGTCAAGAGGGGTTGTCTCTGAGATTTGGGACTGGACCTGAGGGACGGGATGGGGAAGGGGACCCAGTTTTCATTTGACATCCTTTCCACTGTTTGTTTTTTTTTCCTCCCACAAACATGTGTTTCTTTAGTAGCAAAGCTCTAGTTTAATTATTTAAAACATTGATGGTAAAGAGCTATTAGAGAGGAAAGATGAAGTTGTAGAAGCTAGAGGTCGCAGAGGAGGCAGGAGTTGGGCTCCCTCAGGCGAGGCCTGCCTTGACCCTGGTGGGGGAGATGGGTACCAGGGGAAGGACCCAGGAGGGTATGTTGCAGCCAGAGCAGGAAGTGGTGGGCTTTCCTCCTCAACATTAGAGGTGAGGCCATGAGGGGCCTTAATATCAGGATAAGGGGCAGAAGGGCAGAAGGCCAATACAGGGATCAAGGGAGGGTTTCGGGCAGCATGGAGCCCTTCTGAGGTTATGGTTCATCTTTTGGTCTCTGCCTCACCCCCCAGCGGGGCCATACTGGTCTATGTCCACCACATCCCTATGCCAAGCCTTTGGTGGGCACAACACTTGTTCATGGAATGGGGCTCGAGGGTCTGTTGGGTTCTCCAAGACTAAATGGGCCAGGACATGGTGACAGACTACTTGGATAACAGGAAGGTGGAGGTGACTAAACACCCTGTGGGTAGCTCGCTCTGTGTGACGTGGAGTGGCCTGGACTGTGCCACCTGAAGCCTAGGAGGATGAGTGTCCTCAGGGAGCTGGGTGGGGGAGGGATGGAGGCAGCACTCAGCATAGTGACAAGGCAGAGAAGCTGCATATCTCAGAATAATGGGGCTTATGATGGTGGAAAGATGGGGAGAGCCAACAGCTATGGGTATTGGATAAGAAAAGACGGCCAGAGGCTGAGGGACCTCTGTCATCCAGGTGACGGCTACGGGTTGGCTTGCAAGGATGAGACAAGATCTCTTCCATCTGTTCTCTTCCTGGGATGAGACCAAGATGGAGGACAGGCTTGCCAAGATGTCTCTGAAAGGATGGTCCTGCTCCCCCAGCCCAAGGGCCCAAGGGGAGATGGACACACAGAGCCCTTCTCCTTTTTCTCCTGTCCTCCATGGTGACTTGTCCTGGGACTGAGGTCTGTGGCAGGGGAGCCCTCTGCTTGAAGGCAGGACTGTGTCTGAGGCAGTCAAGGCAAGGGGAGGTGCGGTGTGGGCACTGCTGCTATTTCTAACCTGATGAAGTGAACGGAACCCTGACTATTTGAAAAGCAAGCTGATTGTCAGGGGCGGAACCCAACTTGGAGCTGTCAGGGCCGTCACATGGAAACCGCCTGGCAGGGGGTGGCGACAGGGGGCTTGGGCTGACAGGGCTGTGATTTTGAAAGAAACGTCTTTAAGAAATTGATTTAAAGTAGGAGAGAAATATTATTATTAGATAATGGCTGTCAGGTTATTTTTTGATGTGTTCCCCGAGTATTTCATAACCATCTTGCCCCTAGATGGTAAGGCCTTCCTGGCCAGAGGCCATGTCCCGTGCACCTGCGGGTTTCGCCTGAGCGCTGGGCATCCAACCAGCATCAGGAGGTGTTTGCCATTTGGCCAGTGGTCACTTAGGCAGAACGTTTTATAAATAATCCATTTGCCTTTGTCAATAAACCATAAACCAGGATGAGTGCCTGCGTCTTTGGTCTGGATACCTGGGTCCCACCAGGCCCCCACCCCCCAGTATGGGGCATGGGACTGCCCCTGGTGGGAGCAGCCGCAGGATGGGGGGTGGGGCTCACTGGAGACCTGTAACCCTTAGCAGCGAAGGGTCACAGGAACCCAACCCCACCATGCAATCAGTCCTGGCTCCTCCACCCAGCCATCTCCTAAGCTCAGTTCTCAGCAACGGCTCTGCCTTACCACAGCCTGTCCCACCCGCCAGGCTCAGGGAGCCCTCTGATTCTAGTCCACACACATTTTTGGAAATCCATTGCCCCTCTTCTGTTAAAGTCTCTGCTGAGACTTTAATCTCCACCCTGAGGTCAACAGCTCCGGAACATCAAGCTCTTGACCCATCACCCTGCAGCCCCCGCCTCCCTGTTCCCCAGCTTTGCCAGGCCTGACTGCAGTGCCTCCCTGGTGAAGTCCACACTCACACTAGTGTCCCTTCTCCACCAGGCAGAGCCCTCCCCCTCCCGGCCCCTGCTGCAGCTTCCCACGAGTGGACCCTGGCACTGGGTTGCTCTGTGCACCTCCTTTCCAGATTGCCCCCCAGAGGTGATGGGGGTGTGGGGCATGGAGGGGAGGTTTCAATTCAGCAGACCTCATGCAAATTGTTTCCCACCTTTCCTGCCCATTTAGGAAGCTCGATCTGCCCAGCAGGGCTTTGGAAGCCGCCTCTGAAGGGGACTTTGAGCTGCAGGGATATGCCTTTGAGGCCGCGGAGGAGCAGCTGAGGCCTCCTCGGACTGTGCGTGTGGGACTCATTCAGAACAGAACTCCCCTGCCTGCAGACGCCCCCGTGGCAAGACAGGTGCAGCCTCTTTTGACCATAAATACATAAACGGGGCTGTTGGCCTGCTGTGTGTTTTGAATACGTCCACAGTCCCTGGGTGGCCACTCACTACGGATCTGGAGGCACCACGAGTCGTCACCTAGATGCTTCTGCCCTGGCTAACCCCCCTTCCCTGTAGCCCACATCTCTGGCTCCTCTTGCTCGAGCCTCTCACTCCTCACTGCTGTTTCCACCTTCCCCTCCATGTACCCTCCTGTGATGCATCTGAAGTTCCGTTCATCCACTGGGAGGGCGCCCTTCGTCTGGCTCATGTTCTCTCTGGAACTTTGCCTCTTAGTCTTTTGCCAGAAGGGTACCTGCCAGCGCATACCGGTCAGGACCCATCTGTCCTTCCGTGATCCTGAGGGTGGGGACTCACCAAACCCAGATGTCTGTCAGCTGATGGTGCCCCGGGGTAGCGGGAATATGAGACGCATGTCCTTATGACCTTATGGTTAATATAAATGTGATGGCATTCTGGGATGTCCCTAAAGAAATAGGGTGTCACAGACACAGGTGTCTTATTGGCTACACTTCTTCCCAGCATTCCTCCAGCTGCTCAGACTTCTAAGACTTTGTCTGCAGAGGTTTCCTGGGGAATACAGCATGCCTCTGAACTCCTAGGGGTTCTTGAGAAAAGGTCAGTTGGATTTCAGTTCAGGTTCTGCGTCGTCTTTCACTTTGGTCCTTCTGCTTTTGTTGGATTAAAATATTTCTGGTTCAAGATCCCTTTTTGTCTCTGGATTAATTGACTGAATATGTTTCTTCAACCATCCCAGACTGTCAGGGGCAGGGACAGTGTTCTCACTCCCCATAGCACCCAGGAGAACACTCCGCACACTGTCAGCACCTAGCAAATCTCCACAGAGCTTCGGTGTGCAACCCTTGACAGGAATAACCCATCCAGGAAAGACTGGGTGGAGTGGGGAAGGATATTCCTGAAGGAGGTCACGTCTGGAAAATGGGATCCATTCATTCAATGATAAGAGACACCCAGGAAAATGGAAGTGGCAGGACAAGTCACGCCAGAAGCCATGAGGGCAGGATGGTAGACAGTGGACTATGTCCTGAGGCAAAAGGAGAAGTTAGCCCAGGGGATGACTAAGGTGTGCCCTGGGCGTGGGCACCTCTTGTGGTAAATAGCAGATAAGCTTCTTCTGCAGTCCTCTGAGCAGCCCCTTGGGGCAGATGGTGTTCTCCCCATTCTCCAGGTGGACAAACTGAGGCTCTGAAAGGCAGCGTCGAGTGCGTGGGACCCGAGAACCTCTGCACCTCCACCTTTTATTTGTTTGTTTATTTAGAGCATGGAGGGGGAGTGGGCAGAGGGAGAGAGAATCTCAAGCTGACTCCACCGAATGCAGAGCCTGACACGGGGCTGGATCCCACAAATCTGAAATCACGACCAGAGCCAGAAACAAGAGTCAGATATAAATGACTGAATCACCCAGGCACCCCAGGCACCTCCACCTTTTACTGCAGATTTTGGGATTGATGGGAGTAGGATATCACAGAACACACACACCCTTCCTCATCCCCTTGCAGCTGCCTAGGTCGGGGGTAGTTTCACATCCCCGGGGAGGAGTTCTGAAACTGGTCTCAACCAACAGAAGAGAATAGGTTCTAATGCTTGCTCTTTGAATTGCCAGGTCGCCGCCCTTCACAGATGCATTGAAGCCATTGTAGAGGTGGCCGCAGTGTGTGGGGTGAATATCATCTGTTTCCAGGAAGCCTGGAGTAAGTGTCTCCTGGGTGCTTTCTCTGCTGCCTGCAGACAATAGTGTGTAATCTTCGTGTTACCAAGAAGACTGCTCGATTTTTAAAAAATCTCTTCTCTCATCTGTAGAAAGATTCTTTAGTCAACAGCACTGGAAAGCCAGGAATCCTGGCCTCTGTGCACCGCAGTCTGTTGTCTGGTCCTGCCTGTTCTTCCTCCTAAATTGTCCTGAACTCATTCACTTGTTCCTGCCCACCATCATACCACTGCCCTGGCGCAAGGCACCATCAGCTCTCACCTAGCTTCTGTAATTGCTTCCAGCTGGTCTCCCTGCGCTGTCCATTTTGGCCCCTTCTAACGCACTCTTCATGCCTTCTAGAAAAGATCTTTGCAAATCTCAACTCTTGTACTGCTTAGTCTGTTCCTTCCCCCACCTCTGTGGCCTCACCTCGGCTGGGCTCTGCCCTGACCTCCCTGATCCCTTTACAGCCCTACAACACCCTCCCCCTCCTCCCAGGCCACTGAAACAGCTGCTCCCTCTGCCTGCCTGGCCTTCACCCCCCTTGCCCACCCCTACCCCCTTGCCTTTTAGACCCTGTCCAACCTTGACACAGAAGCTCAGAGCCCACCTCCCTATCTAAAATTATCTCCCTGTAACGTACCCCTGGTACCATATACCTTTATTTTATTTTTATCAAAGTTACACATGCTCATGGTTGGGAGTCAAATGATCTACAAGGTCTGTTACCAAAAACTAGCTGTCCTCCTCCCCACAGGCAACCGCTTCTACTCTCAGCTGGTTCTTTGGGAATCTACCTTTGTGTTGCTGGTCCCTGATTTTTCAGTTTCGTACCATCTGTTAACTTCCCGCTATGGAAGAAGACGGCGTGAGTCCCTTGCCTCCTCTGCCCACTCTTTTCACACATACCCTTCCTATCTTCCGTCCATTCTCTGCCAAGCCATTTTGCAAACTTAGATTTCTTTTCCTGAATCACCTTCTGTTTTCCCCAGAATTTGCTTTGTTTTCTGCACACTTACCCCAAATTCTACCCCAAACTTCCAGCTTCTTAAATCCTTTGGAGAGGTTTAGATACGTGAAGCTGTCTGCTGGTTTCATCTCCTTTTTTTTTTTTTTTTAAAGTTTTTATTTTAAGTTTTTATTTTAATTCCAGTTAACATACAGTGTTATGTTCATTTCAGGTGTAGGATATCATGATTCAGCAGTTCCATACATCTCCTGCTGCTCATCATGACAAATGTGCTTCTTAATCCCCATCACCTGTTTCCCCCATACTCTCTACCTGGTTCCATCTCCTTGAAGACTATGTCCCCAGAGCCTTCTGACTACTCTAGTCTGAATTAGTTGCCCCCTCTGCTGGCTGCATGGCTATCTTCCTGGGATTTCCCTTCACTGTCATGCTGGGGAGTTCCCTTATCTTGCTCTTGTGTTTCTCCTATCCCACATCTTCGACTCTTTCTTGCCTTTCTCCCTCTTTTGGGTTGACTAGGTTTCTGAGAAAGAATACATAGGAGGTAACCTTTTCGAGACTTTGCATCTCTGAAAATAGGTTCCTCCTACCTCTAGCTTGATAGTTTGGTTGGGTATAGAATTCTAGGTTAGAAATAATTTTCCTTTGGAAGTTTGAGCACATTACTCCATCGTCTTCTGGCTTTGGGTGTCGATGACTAGTCTAAAAACATTTTGACTGATGACCCATTGCATATGATCTGTTTATTTTTCTGTAGAAGGTTGTAGGATTTTCTCCAATGTTTTGAAGTTTCATAATGATATGCCATGGTGTGTATTTTATTTTTTTTTTTCATTAAGTCAGCAAATATTTATTAAGCATCTGCTACATGCTGGTTACCATCATAGTTATTTGACATACAGCAGCAAGCCAAAAGACACACACCTCTGCCCTTAGGGTGCTTCTTTTTTTTTTTTAATTTTTTAATTTTTTTTCTTAGGGTGCTTCTTGTGGGCAATGGGGAGACAGTACATAATATGTGTATATCTATTTTCATCCATTATTCTAGGAACTCAGTGGCTTCCTCCAGGCTAGAAATCTGGGTCCTTCAGATCTACTGTTCATTAGTGATTTTCTCCCCTCTTTTTTCTTCCATCTCTTCCTGATACTCCTTCTATTAGGATGTTAGAACCCTGGACTAGATCCCTAATTTTCTGAAGTATTTCCTCCTATTTTTCATCTTTGTCTTTTTGCTCAGTTTTCTGGTAGATTTTACCTTAATTTGCCATTCAGCCTTTTATTCAGTCTTTTGTTTCTGCTGTCATATTTTGAATTTACAAGAGTTCTTTTGGTCTGGAAGTACCTGTTTTATGACATCCTGTTCTTATTGTATAATCGCAATACTTTCTCTTGTCTCTGAGGATGTTAGGTAGCATTTTTTTTTCCTCCTTGCATGTTTCCTACTTACTCCATGTTGGTCTTTTCCCCCCAGCTGCTTATATTTTAAGAATTGGGGGTTGAAAAGCTGATTGCAAGCTCTGAGTTGGTGGGAAGAGCTCCTTCCCAGAGCTTCATGAGAGGATGACTTGGTTTAGCTGTTTGTTAGCTAACCCTTCACAGTAGTGTCTTTGGGTCATCCTTTTCAGGCTAGTCAGAGTCCGTAGAGAAGATTCTTCTTAACTCCTGCCAAGAAGAGAAGGAGTATAGGGGTCCAGTGTGCCAGTGTTTCCTGAATCCCTCTAGTTTTGGCACTCTACTTGTCTTTATCTGTCCTGGCTTCCCGAAGGCCAGAGGCCTTCTATTTAAGCACTTCTAGAGAATGAGCCCCTAGCCTTCTTCTAGGGGTGGGAGGGACTTATGTCATCCTTGTGCGGTGGAGGAGGGATCTGGGCTTCCGACTGCTCTTTTTTTCTTTTATAAGATTTTATTTATTTATTTGACAGGGAAAGAGAGTTCACAAGCAGGGAGAGTAGAAAGTAAAGGGAGAAGCAGGCTCCCTGCTGAGCAAGGAGCCCGATGAGGGACTTGATCCCAGGACCCTGGGATCATGACCTGAGCCAAAGGCAGGTGCTTAACCAACTAAGCCACCCAGCCATCCCCTGACTGCTTCTTAAGCAGACTTTTGACCAGTTTTTGTTCTCCACCCCTCCCTACCCCCCCACCTTCAGAGCCTCATGGTACCTCTGAGTCTGAAACTTTGCAAGGGTATATGATGGAGAGGGGTGTGTTCCCTGGCTTCCTCTACTGCTGGGAGCCTGAATTTTCTGGATCTATCACAATATCTACCCTCATCCCTCGGCTCTCTAACCTCCTGTGTTTTGTTGCTCTTGCCCTTTTCTCAGTGCTTCATCCTCATGGGTTTGTACCTTTGCATAAAAATCCCTTTACTGTCATTTGGTATGGTGAACAAGAAAAGAGCAAAGGTATGCATCCAAAAAATCTATGCCCACAAGTTCATCTCGTTTTCCATGTTCCTGGTTACTTATACCTTCACTCATTTGGGTGACACTTTTGATTTGTCTGCCTCTTCCATTAGACCATAAAACTCTGTGAGGCTATTGTCTGTGTGGTGTTAGTTTATTTTTCCCATTCTAATTATCACCACTGTTTTTAACATGAAAAATATTTAATCATGGTAAAATACATAAAACATAATATTCGTCACTTTAATCATTGGCAAGGGTACAATTCAGTGACATTAAAGGCATTCACAGAGTTTAACTATCACCACTATCTATACCCAAAACTTTTTCAACACCTCCAACAAAAACTCTGTACTCATTTAATAATACCCTTCCATCCCGCACTTCTGATAACCTCTGTTCTACGTTCTGTCTCTATGAATTTGATTACTCTAGGGACCTCACATAAGTGGAATCATATAGTATTTGTCCTTTTGTGACTGGCTGGCTTATTTCACTTTAGAATGATGTTTTCAAGGTCCATCCATGTTGTGGCATGTGTCAGAATGCCCTTCCTGGAGCGCCTGAGTGGCTCAGTCATTAAGCGGCTGCTTTCAGCTCAAGTCATGATCCCAGGGTCCTGGGATTGAGCCCCACATCCGCTCCCTGCTTGGTGGGGAAGCCTGCTTCTCCCTCTCCCGCTCCCCTTGCTTCTGTTCTCTCTCTCATTGTGTCTCTCTCTGTCAAATAAATAAATCTTTTTTAAAAATATGCCCTTCTTGGAGTGCCGGGTGGCTCAGTGGGTTAAAGCTTCTGCCTTCGGCTCAGGTCATGATCTCAAGGTCCTGGGATCGAGCCCTGCAGGGGCTGTCTGCTCAGCGGGGAGCCTGCTTCCCCCCCTCTCTCTGCCTGCCCCTCTGCCTACTTGTGATCTCTGCAAATAAAAAATTTAAAAAAAAAAGCCCTCCTTTTTATGGCTGCATAATATTCCACTGTATGGCTAGACTACAGTTTGTTTATCCATTCCCCCATCCCTGTTTTATCTTTTTTCTTAAAAAAAAAAAAAAAAGATTTATTTGTTTGTTTTAGAAAGAGAGAGAGAGAGCACAAGGGGTGGGAGGGGTGGAGGGAGATAGAGAATCTCAAGCCAGCTCCCCACTGAGCAACAAGCCCAATATAGGGTGTGATCCCACAACCCTGAGATAGTGACCTGAGCCAAAAATCAAAAGTCAGACGCTTGACTGACTGAGGCACGCAGGCTCAGTTTTATCTTAAAAGTTTTATCTTTAATGAACAGTCGCTGCTACTGACAGACAAAATGTTTACTGGATGTTTTAACCAACTTCTTCACTTTCTTGGATCTGGACTCATCTGGACAAACTCCTGCTCATCCATCAAGGCCTAGCACAGACACCCCCTTCTTTGGGGGACCCTGGGAACTACCCAGCATAGAATTGAGCACTGTGTGAAATTGTGCAGCCGCACGAGGTTATAATTCAGTTCCCCCCATCTAGGCTGGCAGCTCCTGAGGGCAGGGCCAGGCCTAAATTTAGAGCCTGACTCACAGAGTGTTGGTTCAATAAATAAGTTCCCCTCTAATCTGAAAGCTGTAGTTGGACTTTGTAGCTAGCCTCCCACCAACCTCCATTCCACATTCCTCTTTGGAAAGTTTGTTTACAGAGGTTGTGTAAACAGGAAAAGAAGCCATTAAAATGGAAATGGAGAAATTTGGAGAGCTTAGCAACCTGCAATGAAGTCAGAAAGGGAGGTTTTATTCTCTTGGGGTATTTGAGTCTCTCCTAATGTGCTGAAAGCAGAGAATAAATGGTCATTAAGGATCTTTTTTGTCAGTAACAGCTTTTTTGTTGGCTTCCTTAAAATAGTTTATCCCTCTTTGCTGAAGGCAAGCCTGGGGAGTCTTGAGCCTGAGCCGAGACCCCTGGGGCTGTTGCTGGCAGAGCCCAGGGGGCCAAGATGGTGATGGTGCCATTGGTAGCCTCTTCAGGCACCGTCCTAGGACCAGCCGTCCTACGACTGAAAGGAATTGGAAGACTGATGATGCTTCTTTCTCTTCCTTCTCTGTGAAATGAGTGTCTCCCCTACTTCACAAGGATATGGGGACCAGCTGCCTATACTGGGCCCATGGCCCACTTTTGGGAAAGGTTGACTGTAATTAGTCACCCCAAACAGGCCATCCACCCTGTGCCATGACCACCGAAGGCACTTGCCGTTCACATCGTACTGCTTCCTGAATATCCTCCCTGCAGGTTAGTCCATTCAGAGCGATGTGAACTATAGCGAGCATCTGGAAACTTCCATTAGGCTAATCTCCCTGGGGGAAAAAAAACAAAAACAAAAAAAAACAATGGATTTGGGTAATTGGAAGGAGGAAGGTTTAAAGAATATATGGAATCAGTCCAAACAAAGAATTCAGTGCTCCAAAGCAAGAAGACAAAGACAAGCAGCCCATTAGGAAACGGGCAAAGGTGATTATGCACAAGACTGCCTGGAGGATGAACCCAGAAAAGCCAGTGACCATGTGGCAAGCTGCTCCCCTACAGGTGATAAGGGAAGTGCCTGCTTAATCATGGTGCTCTCCCAGTTCACACCATCATACTGGCGGACGCTAAAGAGTGTGGCTGAGGCTGGGGAACGATAGAACTCAGGTGGCCAGAAATCCCTGTACCCACCCCATGGGAGCCGCCACCCTCTCCTACAAAGGCGAGCATCATTTTGAACCCGGTATGTGTAGCATTCTGTGAACTGTTACTACATATGTTGGTACCTGCTGCTTGAAAAATAAAAAGCACACAAAAATCAATTTATGAATTTAATGAAATTTCTTATTTAATTAGCCCCCTGATGGCATCTAGTCACACATTTATCCTTGGGGAACATTCAGTCCATCATCCGGCAGTTCCCAGATTTCTTATGGGAGTTCATTAAGTGAGTGGCTTTTCTTGTTCCTGAAGAAGCCTCTCTATGCCCATGAGGAGGAACATTCTATGGTGACGTGCCCAGAGTCACCTGTGCCATCCTCAGTGGCCCTCAGACTTTCCCCAGGAAGTCTTGGCTGTGGTTCTACCAACCCACAGATTAGCCAGCAGTTTGGGATCTAGAGTAAAATATACCTAAGATCAACTCTACCATTTTAGTCATTTTTGTTCATTTCAGTGGCACTGACCATATTCACACTGTTGTGCAACCCTCGTGTCGTCCACCTCCAGAATTTTTTCCTCTTCCCTTGCTGAAACTCTGTCCTCCCCCACCCAGCCCCTGGCAACCACCATTCCAGTTTCTGTCTCTATGAATCTGGCTATCCTAAGTACCCCCTATCAGTGGAATCCTATAGCATTTGTCCTTTTATGACTAATGTTTCACTTAGTGTAATGTCTTTGAGCCTCACCCATATTATAGCATGTGTCAGAAGTTCTTGCTTTTTCAGGCTGAATAACATTCCATTGTATGGATACAAACTACATTTGGTTTATCCATTCATCCACCAATGGACACTTGTGTTACTTCCATCTTTCAGATCTTGTGAATAGTGCTGCTATGAAATGATTATGAATCTATCTGTTCAAGTCCCTGAATGTTTTTTTTTTTCTCTCAATTCAATTGTTTTTAAGCCTGGAGTAAAGAAATTTGACCCAGCCCTTTGTTTTGCTATGAAGCCTAGAAGTTTAGGGTCTGCCTGGCACCCATATTGAGGGACACAGATCTTGGAAACCAGATTGAGACCCTCAGGACCCTTGTTATCTTGTGGAGACCCTCAGCTGCTGGGCTGAGGAGCGCCCCCTCAGAGGCCATGAGCACTGAATGTGATTCTGACTTTCTCCTCTTCACAGCTATGCCCTTTGCCTTCTGCACGAGAGAGAGGCTTCCTTGGACAGAATTTGCAGAGTCGGCAGAGGATGGACCCACCACGAGATTCTGTCAGAAGGTAGGACATTAACTGCTCTGTTCTGACAGCAGCTGCCAAACATGTCAGGTCACAGAGCATGACCACAGCTGCTGGGTGTGGCCCTTCACGGAAAATGCACCCATTTGGTGGTGGTTTTGCCTGATGAGATTAGATAAGACTGTTTGCTGCCCTTTTTTTAGTGTCCTTTCACTTAAAATTGGGGGATTTCAGAGCCAAGAGGGCCCTTCCTGGCATTTTCAGGTGAGGGAGCTGCAGCCCAAGGAGGGGTGATCTCCCCATGGTAGGTTCTGCATTTGGCGAGTTGCAGAGGTGGCCCTCAGGGACCAGGAATGAGGTCGGTTCCTTGTCCAGACCTCCGCTGCTTCCCATGCTGTTTGCCTGCATTACGTAAGCTTCTCTGTGTGGCCTGTCTCATCAGTATAGAGATCAGTCTTCATTTTTCTTTGTGAAAACCTTATGACGTTGTATGACCCCACTGAGATGAAACATCCAGAGTAGGCAAATGAATAGAGGCAGAAAGACATGGTTGCTAGAGGCTGGACTGGGAGAGGGACAGGGAGTGACTGCTAATGGGTATGGGGTTTCCATTTGGGGGTGATGAAAATGTTCTAAAATTAGATTGTGGTGGTGGTTGCACAACTCCGTGGATGTCCTGAAAGCCACCCAACAGCACACTTATTTTTTTCCTCCTCACGCATCAGCAGTGACCTGAACAGCACACTTTAAAAGGATGAATTTGGGGGCGCCTGGGTGGCTCAGTGGGTTAAAGCCTCTGCCTTCGGCTCAGGTCATGATCCCGGGGTCCTGGGATTGAACCCCGCATCAGGCTGTCTGCTCGGCGGGGAGACTGCTTCCCCCTCTCTCTCTACCTGCCTCTCTGCCTACTTGTGATCTCTGTCTGTCAAATAAATAAACAAAATCTTAAAAAAATAAAAATTCAAGTAAAAGGATGAATTTTATACCATGTGAATTATATCCTTATGAAGCAGTTCTTACACACACAAACCCAGTCCATAACAATAAAGAGGTTATGATCAATACCTTCTCCTTGTTCTTTTTTTTCTTTTCTTTCTTTTTTTTTTTTTAAAGATTTTATTTATTTATTTGACAGAGAGATCACAAGTAGGCAGAGAGGCAGGCAGAGAGAGAGGAGGAAGCAGGCTTCCCGCTGAGCAGAGAGCCCGATGCGGAGCTCGATCCCAGGACCCTGGGATCATGACCTGAGCTGAAGGCAGAGGATTAATCCACTGAGCCACCCAGGCGCCCCTTTTCTTTTCTTTTTTTAAGATTTTATTTATTTATTTGACAGACAGAGATTACAAGTGGTCAGAAAGGCAGGCAGAGAGAGAGAGGGGGAAGCAGGCTCCCTGCTGAGCAGAGAAAGCCTGAACTGGGCTCGATCCTAGGACCCTGAGATCATGACCTGAGCTGAAGGCAGAGGCTTAACCCACTGAGCCACCAGGTGCCCCCTATAACTTATCTTTATTCTTAACAAAGCTTTTTTTTTTTTTTTACTTCTCCACGTCCCATTTCAGATTTTATGCATATTTTTAGGGGATTTTTTGGAGCAGAACTATAATCATAGTGATTCTATCAAAACTGAGTCATGATTCCAAACATCAGTGTTTTCACGCTATCAGAAAAAATCTGTCATCTACCAGATTGTGGATTCTGTGCTGTGGATAAAAGAGAGGGGACTGGTTTAAGTGGTGACTATAGATGACACACTGGAACCAGGGCTAGAAGAAGAGGAAAGGTGGAGTAGGGATGAGAACTGGTGCAGGAAGACACCTGTCTGCACCGACAGGGGACCAGGACCCATGGATGCCCTTACATGGCTTGGAACATCACCTTCTACCTTGTGCCTTTCTCCATCATTAAGGCCAGAGATGGTGGCAGGCTAGTTAGAGGTGAGGACAGACGACCATCTGGGGCTGCTCAGCCTGATTGGCACCAGGTCCTTAATGTTCTTATTTGAGAGAAAAGAAATTCACCATCAAAGAGTGTGGTTTGGCTTGGTTGTTATAATGAAAAGTATGATAAATATTATTAGTTTTTTAAATAGTGGTAAACAGCACATACAATTTACCATCTCAGCCATTTATAAGTATATTGTTCAGGGTGTTAAGTACATTCACATTGTTAGAAAACAGATCTCCAGAACTTTTTCATCTTGTAACTCTGAAACTCTGTACCCATTAAACAACCCTCTGTTCACCCCCAGCTACTGGCAACCATATCCTACTTCCTGTCTCTATGAATTTGACTACTTTAGATCCCTCACATAAATGGACTCATTCAGTATTTGTCTTTTTGTGTCTAGCTTATTTCGTGTAACATAAGGCCTTCAAGGCTTATCCGTGTCATGTTAATCCCATGTCATCCATGTGATGACAAGCTTTCTTTCCTTTTTAAAGCTGAATAATATTCCATTGTATGGACATACCACATTTAAAAAAGATTTTCCTTTTATTTATTTTTTTAAAGATTTTTATTTGTTTGTTTGACACACATGGAGAGAGAGAGAGATAGGGAGGAAGAGCACAAGCAGGGGGAGCAGCAGGGGGAAAGGGGGAAGCAGGCTACCCACGGAGCAGGGAGCCCGATGTGGGGCTCAATCCCCTGGGACAACAGCTTGAGCTAAAGGCAGACGCTTAACCCACTGAGCCACCCAGGTACCCCTCCTTCTATTTTTTTCAAAGATTTTAAGTAATCTCTGCACCCAACATGTGCAGAGACCCGAAGATCAAGAGTCACCTGCTCTACCAGCTGAGTCAGCCAGACACCCCAGATATGCCACATTTTATTTATCCATTTATCCATCTGCAGATTTGTGGGTTGCTTCTACTCTTTGGCTCTTATGGAGAGGACTGTGGTGATCATTGGTGTGCAGATACTTCTTCAAGATACTCTTTCAGATATATACCCAGAAGTGGGACTTCTAGATCGTATGGTAGTTGTATTTTTAATTTTTTGAGAAACTGCCATACTATTTTCCACAGCCACTGCACCATTTGACATTTCCACCAAGGACCCAAGGACAGCAGTTATTTTTACTTAGCTCAACTTGGGCCTCAGGACAACGCTGGCATTCAGTCTTCCAAAGAGCAAACATAGATGATCCGTAGCTCTGAACCAAGTCGAATTATTTAGTAGGATCATCTAATTCTTCAATTTAAAAAAATGATGACATTCCACTTAAAACAATGACTCTGCAGCATTCCTTGTCTTTCCAGCTGGCAAAGAAGCATGACATGGTGGTGGTATCTCCCATCCTGGAACGAGACAGAGAACACGGGGATGTTTTGTGGAACACAGCTGTGGTGATCTCCAATTCTGGAGCAGTCCTGGGAAAGACCAGGAAAAACCACATCCCCAGAGTGGGTGACTTCAATGAGGTGAGCTGGCCTGGAGAAAACCCGCTCAGCTTACTGGCTGTTCTGTCTGCACCTGCCTGCAGATCGTTCTGGGAGGGAAATCCTGTGTTGGGTCACTCCCAGGTGAGTCCCAGATACCAAGCACAGAGGCATATTTCTTTTTTTTTTCTTTTTTCTTTTTTTAAAAACTTTATTTGTACAAGTAGCAGGCAGAGGGAAAAGCAGGCTCCCTGCTGAGCAAGGAGCCTGATGCGGGACTCGATCCCAGGACCCTGAGATCATGACCCAAGCCAAAGGCACACGCCCCACCAACTGAGCCACCCAGGCATCCCTCTTTTTTTTTTTTTTTTAAGATTTTATTTATTTATTTGAGAGTGAGAGAGTGAGTGAGAGCGAGCAAGAGAGAGAACACAAGCAGGGGGAGGGGCAGAGGCAGAAGGAGAAGCAGGCTCCCTGCTGAGCAGGAAGCTCCATGTGGAGCTCAATCTCAGGACCCTGGGATCATTACCTGAGGTGAAGGTAGATGCTTAACTGACTGAGCCACCCAGGTGCCCCTGGATATATATTTTTTTAATATAACCTGACTTCACTTTCTGAAATTCTGAGGTAAGTGATATATAGATTAAAACCAAAATAAATTGTGCATACACATGAAATGATTCCTACAGCCCCTTTCAGGCTCTGAGCTCCTCCTTTGGGAAGTGGAATCCTTGTTCGTAAGTCATGTGAGGTCTTAGCCATGTCATTATGCCGGATGGCAGGACGTAAATGGGAGTGCCTGTGCACATGGGTATTAGGTAAAGCTCTGTGCCTGTGATGAAGGCGTAAGTCAGGACAGCTATTCTGATTAGCTAATGGCAATGCATGGGTGGATTGGGTGACTCCACCTAATATGTAAGATATGAAACCTGAACTTGATCTGCAATAAATACAGTTGTTCAGAATGTGACATACCCAGTCCTTTGCTGCCCTCCCTGATTATGGGGGTTCTAACCACACTCCCAGGCGGGTCAGAAGGACAAGGAAGGATCTACAGAGCTGGATGATGTTCCCTGGGGAGAAAAAAAAACCCTGGTGTCTCTCAGTGATAGCTGGAGGTGGGGATGGGAAGATGTGCTTGTCACCTGTTTACCCTAGGATTAATCTTTAGCTCCCAGCAGATAATGAAGGGCTTGTCTCAACACACCAGGATCTACTCTAGTGTCCACCACATGTACACATCCTGGTTGCTGCCTGACCCTAACACATTTTGAAGTTAATGGGAGGAGGCAGAATGTTCTGGGAGCAGATCTCTTTGGGACCCCCAATGAGCCCTCTGGCCCCCCCACAGGGCCATCCTCGAAAATGTCCCAGGGCCAGCACCCCAAGGGGCCAGACAGAGAGGCAGACATGGTAGGACATCCCTAGTCCTGGCCAGGATGCCAAGAATCTCTGTGGAGAACACTTTCAGGCTGTGAGCTCTAGTCTCAGATTGACCTTCATGATCTGGATGAGTCACATGGCCACTGAGGCCGTGGTGGTGTTCTCTCCCAACGGGCGGGGCTCGCTCTGGATGAGTTTCCAGTCCCTTCCACTCTGACATTCTTCAGACGAACATGTGGTTGGTGAAGACATCCACTAACTCATGTTAACACTGACCAAATCTTAACCATTAGTTGTACCATGACTGAAAAACTAGCCAAAGTTCATCCTGAAAATACTGTGGGAAGTTGCTTTGGGGATTTTTTGGACACGCCACCAAAGAAATTGTGGGAAAAATCTTAAGCCGTGGTGATTTCCCAATTGTCTGTGGTTACTGTGTCTGGTTTCTTCAGTTTTTCTTTTGACTTTCCTTTTTTTAAATTTTTTTGTTAAGCGTATTAAAATTTCGGAACTTAGAGTTACAGCCAGGATTGTGACTTTTGGAGTCCTGGCAATATTTTCTTTTTTTCTGTCAGGTCTAAGGAAGGAGAAATTGTAAGGCTAAGAGGCTTTCACTCACGGCCCTTTGTTTTTCAGTCCACTTACTACATGGAGGGAAACCTGGGACACCCCGTGTTCCAGACTCCATTCGGGAGGATTGCAGTGAACATCTGCTACGGGCGGCACCATCCTCTCAACTGGCTCATGTACAGCCTCAACGGGGCTGAGATCATCTTCAACCCCTCAGCCACAGTCGGCGCGCTCAGGTCCGTCAGCAAGCAGTATCGGGGAGGGTTCTTGGGACCCAGCCCTCTTGTGGCTCATGGCCCAGCAGCAGGGTTCCGAGCTGGGTGTGGTAGTTGTGGCAGGCAGGGGTGGTCACCAGGTCGTCTAACAAATCTTGAGCCATGGGATTGTAAAGTACCCAGAGCTTAGAAGGTGCCTGGCCAGCATTAGCACCCACTTCCCTGTCATGGCAGCCACTATGCCCTCAGACAGGGGGCCTGGGGATTCCTAAGCCTCTTGTCTGTGACGTCCAGCCCATGGAGGGGAGACACCTGGACGAGGGAAGGAGCCAATGAGAGCATCAAAGCTGAGAGGGTCCTTAAGAGATCAGCCAAGTGGCCCTGAAATTTGTTTTTAACTAGCAGACTGTTTTCTTATAACACTCTTATAACGTGTTTAGGCATTAGCCTTGTCGTGAAACAGATAAATCTATTCTGAGGAAGGCAGTAGGGGGGAGAGCCCTGGCAGTCCCTGGGCTCCTGCGCAAGACCCCTGGGGCCCTTCATTTAATAATGGTGGGTGAGCTAAGATGACCCAGCATGAGTGCACTTCCGGGACTTCTTTCTTCCCCAACGGCTGAGTATTTGGGTGGTTTCCAGTTTTGCATCATTAAAAAGTACCAGAACTCTAGGAGTTTATGTGCAAATATCTTTCTCCCCAACTCACTTCCTCCAAAGCAGGATTCCTGGATGAGGAGGTGCTGGCTCTCACCCTCATTGTCCCTGGTTGCCAGTGCCCTAGCAATGGGATGCTGGTGGAGTGCAGTGGGAGAGGGCCCCCAGTCCCTCTGTGGGGAGCAGCTGGGACGGTTCTGGTGGGCAGCTTTGGGTTTCCTGCCGGCCTACACCTGTCACTCTTCGATTAAATTCCCGTCAAATTTCTTCTGAAGGTCAGAATGTGACATTTACCTTTTCTTTTAAGCACGCTGCCCCCTTCTTGAGCGACGTCCCCACCACATTCTGATTTGAACAGTGGGTCCCTCAGTGGGCCAGAACACAAACCTAGTGGGCTACCTCAGGTCAGCGGCCCCCTCTGTGCACCTGAAGTTTTTGTCTATGTCCAGGAGGGGCACTGTTGGGCAGAAGGGGAAAAAAAATCCTACCTTCCATACCCCTGAAGAAACTTCCTGGGGCCTCACAGCAGCTTGGTTACCATGACAGAGTCCAAAGGCAGTTGTGACGTAGGGTCATGACTGGTCATCCTGCATCCGGACCTGGGCAGAACCTCCCCCGGGCCAGCCCTCTGGAACAGCCGCCTCCTGTTGGCCAAGCATAAGACATTCAGCAAGCGCCATCTACCTGCGAGGGTCCCCCTGGGAACTTGAAGCCGATGCACTAAGCATCTCTGCCTGAACCAGCTCTTGAGCCAGGGCAGGCAAAGTGGTAGACTCAGACTCCAGACGGGTGCCTCCCTGACCTTAGTCTGTCTGGCTTTTATTAGTCCCAATTAAGCAAACAAAGCACCCCAGTGTAATCTGCACATAACTGCATCTTCAGCAGCCAGTTAGGCTTATTAGAAATTATTGATTTTCCTTCCTCAACCAACAATCACCCAACTCGTGCCTTTCAAGGGTGCAGTGAGGCCGGCAATTAAGACGATAACAGGTCCTTTGGAAAGTGGGATGTTTCATGAGCTCCCGAAATGTTCACACCCTTTAACTGGATAATTACACTCCTAAAACTTTACCTGACAGAGGAGGAAAAGGCTGTATGCATGAAGATGTTTCTGGCTGCTTTGTTTATAATAATAAAAGAGCTTAAGGCGAGAGAAATGTCAGGGTTAGGTAAATTTCAGCTTGTCTCTTCCACGTTAGGGCATTAGCTACTCAAAAGTCATTCCGAAGATAATGCAGCCTCATGACAAAAGCCTGTGAGCAAAGAAAGATGTTTCCAGGCTGTGGTCAGAGCTCTGTAAACATCTTTTTGCCGAGGATGGATGTGGAGTGTGGAAACATTACAACAGATGGTTTGTAAGGATGGTGGGATTCTAGGTGATTTTCCTAAAATGATAAATGATTATTTATAGAATTGATAGTGAGTGTTTTTCTTGCACAAGTCTAGGCAAATCCCCACCAGCCGTACACAGGCAGTGGCTACTGGAACCATCCATCCCTTCTCCGGTGTGTCCTGTCCCCCCGACTCCCACATGCTCTGTGGGTTGGTGGGGTGTCCCTGCTCATTTTGGGAGTCCCACAGTTATAAGCACACAACAGACTTGAAGTGCGTTTCGATGGACTGAGTCGTCCTGACGGTGCCATGCAGCCCATGGGGTCGAAGATTTCTGCCACCTACATACATGAACGGGAGAGCCATGGTTCCATCCCTTTGATAGGTGTCTCCTTCCCACTGTGATTATTTTTAGGGGCTAGTGTAACCACACTGGGAATAAGGGAGATGTCCCCTTGCCCCCAGTGTGCTTGCCATGACTCTTGCACATGCTGGGTCCTCACCTTTCCCTTTCCCTTGTTCCTTTCCCTTGTTTGTTTGGAGAGCCTGAGTTTTATTTGCCAGCTGTGGGTTTGAGTCCTACGCAGCGTACCCTCCCAGGAGAATTGCAAGAAAGCTGTCTATTTAATTCCTGAAAATGTCATTTTACGGGTGTGTTTCTATAAAAATCCTTTCTTAAAAGTTTTGTCAGCTTGGCTTAGCAGCTGGGGGAAAAAGGCAGCAAAATGAGTCCCCTCAATCAAGCCTGTGATTTTTTTTTTTTTTTTCAGACTCGTGAATCCTCCTGAGAATTAGGCTTGTCAAGCACCCACTCCCTCCACCTACTCCCAGTTTAAACCAGGTGCACACTGACAGGAAGAAAGATGCCAGGGCATTTTGCTTTCAGTCACTTAGTGTTTCTAAGTGGGCATTACGCCTGTCAATCCAGAATCCTAATGATGTTGTTCCTCAGACAAGAGATTATTAGTGACAAGAAGGCCCATGGGACTCCATGGCACATGGTAGTTGGTGGGCCGGAGAAGGACGGGGTCTTCAGTTGGGGCAAGGTTTCCTACCATGTCCTACCTTTGTGGGCTCCAAACTGAGGAAGGCCCACGCTCCTTCCTGGGCCAGTAAGAGGGCCAGGGAGCCTCTGTTTAGAGTCTCAGGGTTCAGAAGAGGAAAATCAGAAGGTGCTAGAAAATGGAGACCAGCTCAGGGGAAGGCACACCTGCTGCAGAATTTACTACCCCTTCCAGTTACCTTCCTTTCAGGTTTCCTCTGTTTGCTTGGCCTGAAATCTCTCCCTCTGGAGACTGCTTTGCAAGGCCACAGAGCAGGGTAGGGATTAGGGCAGAAGTTGGAGTCCTCAGAGGGCGGTGGATGAGCCTCAAGGCTCCCAGCTCCCTCCTAATGTTTGCCAGGTGAGGCCCTGCCTAGCCTAGAAGTTAAGTTCCTCCCCCGACCGACTGAGGAGGAGGGAAGGAGGGAGAACTAGCCGTTACAGAGTTTCTGCCATGCATACCCTACTAGAAGCTTCTTCACCTATATGGTCAGTCCTTACAATAGCCCTTTCAGGAAGTTTCAGAAAAGAATACTGTGGCTCAGGGCTGCTTTAGCCTGCAGAAGGCCCGCCCCAAAAGGCTGCTTGGGCTTGAGTACAGGACAAGCTGGCCTGCTGGGGGATGTAGGGACACCCACAGCCACACCAGTCTCCCGGGCCATCCCTGCCACAGACCTGAGAAGGCCGGCAGCCTGGCTGTAGCTGGGGACCAAGCACCCACCCCATCTGGCGGGGAAGTCAGCCACCTGGTTCCTCTTGCTTCTTCCTCACAGTGAATCCCTGTGGCCCGTTGAGGCCAGAAACGCAGCCATCTCGAATCACTGCTTCACCTGTGCCATCAACCGTGTGGGCGAGGTAAGTTCCCACGGTCTGGCTGGGCTCCAGGGCTTGGTCAACCAGGTATGCTGTGGAGGGAGTGGGGGACAGAGCTGCTAGGAAAGCTGCCTGCCCAGGGGGGGCTGGCCTCTTCCACCAGCAAAGGCCACAAGGGAAGCAACTGTCTGCTGACCTCACACCTCTTCTTCTTGTCCCTCACACGTCTTCTGCCTGTCCCTGTGCCACAAATTCTAGGGTCCTGGAAGAGGGGAGACTGGCTTGGTTTGTTCCTTTTAAAGGTATTCCTGTTTTTATCTATTTGGGTTTGTAGCTGAAACCATGTTGAAAGGCTCTCACCCTGTCAACCCCCTAGTCTCCTGTTTCGTAATTTTCCCCATTGACCCAGGGCCCTGAGTGAACTTGACTACGAAACACAATGCATTCATTACATAATAATCCTCTTCCTCATTCATATTAGTTGGATGTCAGACTTTGATCAGAGGATCTGCTGAGGCTGAGGTGATCAAGGTTCCTACAGTAAGTGGGTCCAATTTCTGGCAACATGGAGAAACTCATTAGTGTTCTCATTAGCCTGTGTAACCCCATCATGGCTTGAGGTGCTGTTTCCATGAGGCTTTGGGAAAATACTGGCAGCGGTGTATGAACACCCCATTAGTCCCCTCTGAGACCCCAAGCTGGGGCTTTCTTTCCCAGGCAGACAAACCTCAACTGTCTTCCACAGGCCTGAGAACCACTCTGCTGGATGTCTTTTTTTTTCCCCCCCCTCTCAGTGGATTATAAACTCCCCAGAGACAAAGTCAGGCTTTTTACCTTGCCTGTCAAATTCCCCGCTGGCCCACTGTGTTGGCCCAGTGCTGGCGACTCAGCGGGGACATTTCATAAGTACTTGTTGATTGCCCAGCGAATACAGGCCATTCCTTCTCTTGCTATAACTGTTGCTTCCCTTAGTTCACGGTGGCCCGCGCTGGGAGTGCCACCTATAGGCTTACCTGACCTAGATTTTGTTTCATAGGAGCAATTCCCGAACGAGTTTACCTCAGGAGATGGGAAGAAAGGTATGTTCCAGGATTTTCTGTAGTTGGCGGCAGCTGAGAGGTGGCCCTCACTGTCCCCTTCTCTGTCTGCCCCCTCCGGGCAGGGTCTACCCCACAGACTGGTCCCACCTCTCTGGCTTGGAATGTGGAAGGGAAGGGCTCACCCAGGAGATCTCGGAACTAGCTTAGGGTGTCCCCTGGAAAGGCAGAGAGGACTGAGCAGGTCTGTCTCCCAGAAAAGCACTTCCCGAAAGGGTTCCAGGTCTAGGTTGGAGATTAAGGCCCCACATGTCCACAGAGTCTCCAATCCCAGTTAGCTCCCTGCAGAGAGAGGTACAGTGAGGCAGGGAAGCGAGGTCCCTGGGGTGCCTGCTGGGTCCAAGCCCCTGCTAGGCCCAGCTCCGTGCCTACCTGCTCCTTACACGCCTGTGGGGTAGCTGTTAGCACCGCTTGACTTATGAGGGGAACGAGGCGTGGAAGGAAGGTACGGTGGATGCAGCTGGGAAGGCAAGTGGGGATGGAGCCTCTGGCTCACCGTGTGGGGCCAACACAGGAGCAAGTCACACAGGAAGCCATGCAGAGCCATATGACTCCCTTGGGCTCTGGGTAGCTACCGGGAGTAAGGGCTAACATTTCTGCAAGGGTGACCCTTAAGAATGTTCCCAGGAGGGGCATCTGGATGGCTCAGTTGGTTAAATGTCTGCCTTCAGCTCAGGTCATGATCCCAGGGTCCTGGGATTGAGCCCCACATGGAGACCCACATCCAGCTCATCCAGAAGTCTGCTTCTCTCTCCCCCACTCCCCGTGTTCGTGTTCCCTCTCTCAGTCAAATAAATTTTTTAAAAATCTTAAAAAAAAAATGTTCCCAGGGCGGAGGTGAAGGCTGTGAGGGTGACTTTTATAGAAACCTGCTCAGCCTCAGGCCTGAGGAGGGAGGCAGGGCCTCTGGGGAGGTGGCACGGGAATGCTGGGGAGGGTGGGGAGGAGTGGAATGGACACATCCTGGATGTCGCTCCATATGCCTACCCCGCTGTCTGCACCCACAAGCTCACAGGTGCTTTGTTTCGCTCCTCCAAAGCTCACCGGAACTTCGGCTACTTTTACGGCTCGAGCTATGTGGCAGCCCCGGATGGCAGCCGCACCCCTGGGCTCTCCCGCAATCGGGACGGGCTGCTGGTGGCAGAGCTCGACCTGAACCTCTGCCGGCAGGTGAATGACATCTGGAACTTCAAGGTGGGTCCCTGAGTCCCCTGTTGTTGGCCTGCTCCTCCATTTGCGGCCCCCCCACCCCCCTCCCCCCAACCTGCTCTCAGAGCTGGAAACCGCAGCTGCTGGGTGTGCTCTCTGGAGCCCCCAGAGGAGTCTCCAAGGCAAGCGGAGGGGCCCGGTGTCTTCCTCCCAGAGCTGGTGTGCAAGGGAGGAGCCACTGGGTCAGATGATGGCCAGGCAGCAGACCTCAATAAATTCTCCTCTTGTCTGATTTGGATTCTGGGCGCCTTCAAACAAATTAATCTCAATTTCATTTGTCCGGAGAATAGAGTGGATTGGCCTCTACTAATCCTTTTTTCCCTTTCCAGGCATTTGCACTTATCCCAAGATACATGTGGGTGTCTGGCTCTGCCTGTGGCCTGGCGGTCTAGACCTTGACAGTAGAGGGAAATGGGTCATGCAGAGAAATGGAATCTAGGCCTGGCTCTGCCACTGCCTTTCTCAGTTACCCTAAGCAAGCCCTTTCTGCTCCTGGGCCTTAGGATCCCTGTTTGTAAAACTGGAAGGTCTCAAGTGGCCTTTGAAACCTAACACATATGACACCAGGGGTCATGGAGGAGCGTAAGTGCCCGCCCCCTGGAATGGGGCAGAGGCCCAGCAGTAGATCCCCTCATCCTCACCCAGATTGATTTGTTGCATTTGTGTCCAGCAGTATTTCGACCGACTCAGAACCTACTTATACATGCAGTTGAATGTCCCCATGACTATAGGACCTTGCCCAGCATGTCTGGGTGGAACCACCTCCCCCGTTTACCTGAGCACGGGTCTTAGGGCATGTTCCCTGGGTCTCAGGTCCTCATCAGACAAATAAGGCATCGCCCACATGCATGTCTCCTGGCCTGTCTCTCTTCTATCTGGGAAGCTCAGATTAATGCAGGATTCCACGCAATAAACAGAATGTTTTCTCAGTAGTAACTTTTTGAATGCCCAAAGCCCCCCTAAACTATGGTGGTGGGCCTGAGCTCCTGTCGGGGTTTTGGGAAGGAGGGAGGGAATGCCTAGGTGTGAACACCCTGGGTAGGTTTTCCAGCCCTGCCCCCACCTCTCCCAGACTCAGGGCCAGGACACCAGAGTGCAAATCCCAGCAAACTCCATGGCTGCCTGGGGACCCGGGGCAAGTCACTCCCCTCTCTAGGCTGTAGGCTATTCTGGGGTTCTGTAAGAGGGCAGCCTTCTTTCCTTCTACCTCTGGGCAGGCCATGCCTTCTGGATGGACAGGTCACAGAGGTCTTCCAGCAAGAGGGGCCAGCATGTGTGAGTCATCTCAGTATCTGTGATCTTTGCTATAGCCCTAGAATCAGTGGTGAGCGGTCACACAGGGGTCATTTCCTACCTTACTGTCTGAAACCATCCCGTCTTCCTGCTGGCCTTCCTGGCAAATTTCTTTCCTGTGGCTGCCCTCTAGTGGCAAGAGGTGGTGGTGAGTAAATGAAGGGCGTTTATAAAATGGGACTCTGCCTGTGTTTTGCTTTTCAGATGACTGGCAGATACGAGATGTATGCTCGGGAGCTTGCCGAAGCCGTCAAACCCAACTACAGCCCCAATATCGTGAAGGAGTAGCTGGATTTTAGCCCCTGGCTGCCAAGGAGAGCACATCTGCCCCTGGCAGCTCAGTGAGTACAGCAGGCTTTAGAAAGTCCAAGTTCTCCCTTATGATGTCCTGGGAACACTGCTGTCCACATTGGTTTTAAAATACTCCAGGCGGGGAGGGCCGATTGAAGAGTAACTGCCCAGTGGGTACAACATTTCCTTCCCGGCTGATGAAATGTTTTGGGCCCATACAGAAGTGACGGTTGCACAACACTGTGAATGTGCCCACGTGAAATGCCGCTGAATTGTATACTTTAAAATGGCTGAATCTATGTTATGTGAATTTTACCTCCATTAAAGAAAAAAAACCCAGGCACTGATGGTGCAGGTGGATTTGCAGTAAGACACATGGGATGTCCCAGTCCTGAGGTTCTTCTCCGCCTCTGATTAGACCGTCGGCAACCTGTGGGTAAGGGTGGGAACATATGTGCAAACAGGGGAAGCTGAGGCTGATCCAAAGTCATTGAGCTGCTGGGTGGCTGTGGGCAGGGGAGATGGTCTTCGGACGTGTCAGCATGGCTAGACTGGTGTCCCCAGGTATTCAATCAGATGCTAATCTGGGTGTTGCTATGGAGGTATTTTGTAGATGTGATTAAAGTCTATAACCAGTTAACTAAGCAAGTGAGATTATTCTAGATAATCCAGGTAGGCCTGATTTAGTCAGTCAAAAGGCCCTCAGGAGGAGAGCTGAGGCTTCCCCTATGAAGAAGAAATTCTGACTGTGGACAGCAGCTTCCCCACCCCACCTGCCTGAGAAATCTCATTGCCCTTCCTAACCGCCTGCCCTACAGATTGCAGACTTGTCTCTCCAGCCCCCACAATCACTTAAATCAATGCCTTGCAATAAATCTCTTAACATAGATCCTACTGTTTCTGCTTCTCTAGTTGGACCCTGGCTGATAGAGATTCTGGTCCCAGAACAGAATCCTCAGGATGAGTTTTCTGCATTGGTGCTAGGTTTTCTGGAATTCTTCTCTAATTTATTTCATTTAAGGGCACTCATGACTCTGTTTGCAGTGTTAAAGGGGGTCATGGTAGTCCATGGTGTGATGTAGTGATAGAGATTTATAGAGAAAGCAGACTGTCAGCCTGCCACTCCTGGTGGCTTCTCCCATCTGTGGACTTGAGGCTTGGCTAACCAGCCCCCATCACCATGTAGGGCAATTCCTTGCACTCAATCTCTTTGAATCTTTATATATATACATATATATGTATGTAATACACATATGTATCTCCTGTATATGTAAATGTATCTGTATCCCCTGCTAGTTCTGCTTCTCTGATTATCACCACCTGCCTCACTAAAGTAGCAGCTTGCTCACCTCTCTGTCCCTCTGCTTACACATCTGTAAAGTGGGACCATATCCCCTCTTCTGCTTTATTCACAGGACAGTGGTGAGAGACAGACTAGATGGGCCAGGGAACCTATATGGGCTCTGTTCCTTCCATCACAGAGCAGAAGTCCCCCTGTGGGGAGGGCACCTGGGTGACTCAGTCGGTTGAGTGACTGACTCTTGGTTTTGGCTCATGTCATGATCTCAAGGTTGTGAGATCCAGCCCCACGTCATCGGGGCTCCGTACTTAGCAGAGAATTTGCTTGAGATTCTCTCTCTCCCTGTCCCTCTGCCCTTCCCCCTGCCTGCTCTCTCTGTCACTCTTTCAAATAAATAATTTTTTTTCTAAGTGTCCCAACTGTGAAATCTCAAACTTCCACAGTCGGCCACAGCATTGGAGGCGGGAGTGGGGTGCTCTGGTTCTGCCCTTACTGTGCCCGATCAGAGAAGGCAGCTCATTCCTTCCCTGGCCCAACAGCTGAGTTGCATGAACCAATGCTCTTGGACAGCCATGTGGGGTGAAAAAACTGGTCAGAACTGCCTGGGTGTACTCTGTGTTAACCCCCTTAGCCTCTCTGAGCTGCAGGCTTTCTGCTTTATGTAAAAGCCCCCTTTGTACTTACTTTTCATAGAATCCAGCCCTGCAGATGCAGTGAGCTTTTCTGTCTGGCCGTCAGTGTCCACAGCCTTTGTGCCTATAGTTTCTAAAAGGAGTGGGTAGTCAACCTAATAGAGAAGCCAGCTTAGATAAAAAGTTGGTGCATTTATGAAATAGGCACTAATACACCAGAAAGGATTTGATTATCCACATCTGTCACTGCCTAAAATCAAAATGTCCAGGTCTGCCTCAGAGTAGATGGGCCCCCCACACATGGAGTCATTTGAGGGTTTAACTATACCTAGAATATTTGGATGCTCAGCAAACATTTGTTGACTGAACCTAGGGAGGAAGTTTTTGATACGGTGTGATCATTGCTGATACCACAGAAGGGAAGTGCAGTGGTTCAGTGTACAGGGCCTATGGCCCTTGGGAGAAGGCTTTTGATTCCTTGAGCCTCAGTTTTCTCACCTCTAAGATGAGAGGTGCCTGGGTTTGAGGCTTTCCAGGGGCTCTCCAGCTCGGCAGACATCTTTCCTGCCAGCCCGTGGTTTTATTGCTAAGAATCTGGAGTACCAGGGAAGAATGGTGCCAAGCAGTATGCCTGATGGGAAAAAAGGCAAAGACAATCTCCAGGATAGAGATTTGTTTGGTTTTGGCTACATGTTAGGCCACAAAACAAGTCGTGATACAGTTTAAGACTGAAATCATACGAAGTATCTTTCTCAATCACAATGTTATGAAATTTGAAATAAGTAGCGGAAGGAAAATTCAAAAATACGTGAAAATTACACCACACATTCTTGAACAACTAAATGGATTTTAAAAAATCACAAAGGAGGGGCGCCTGGGTGGCTCAGTGGGTTAAAGCCTCTGCCTTCGGCTCAGGTCATGATCCCAGTGTCCTGGGATCGAGCCCCACATCGGGCTCTCTGCTCTGCAGGGAGCCTGCTTCCTCCTCTCTCTCTCTCTCTGCCTGCCTCTCTGCCTACTTGTGATCTCTGTCTGTCAAATAAATAAATAAATAAATCTTAAGAAAAAAAATCACAAAGGAAATTAGAAAATGTCTCGGGACAAATGGAAACAAAAGCAAAACATACCCAAACTGGTAGGAAACAATGAAAACAGTGTGAGAGGGGAAGGAATGTAAGGCTATAAACACTTATATTAATAAAGAAGAAGGTGGGCGCCTGGCTGGCTCAATTTGTAGAGCAGACGATTCTTGATCTTGGGCTCATGAATTCAAGTTCCACACTGGGCTTAAGTGTTTGCTTAAAAAAATTAAAGAAGAAGGATTTCAAGTCAACAACCGAATTTTACATCTTAAGGAACTAGGAAAAGAAGAGCAAACTAAACTCAAGGTAACAGTAGAGAAGAAATAATAAAGATCAGAGCAGAGAGGAATAAAATAGAGAATAAAGAAACAATAGAGAAGAGCAATGAAACCAAATGTTGGTTCTTCAAAAACACCAACAAAACTGACAAACCTTTAGCTTGACTGAGAAAAAAAGGGAAGACTCAAATTACTCAAATCCAAAATGAAAGTGGGGACATCACTACTGAGACTACAGAAACAAAAAGGCTTATAAGAGTACTATGAACAATTTATTAGAGGAGGTCACCAAGAGCACGTGACTGCCAGTTGACCCATGAGCTGCGCCCAGGCAATCAGACTCCTTCCCTCCCACAGTGCCCCCCCGTCGTTGGAATGTACATTCTGCCCACTGTTACTACACTAGGAGCTACTTCAAGGACACAGCTTGAGAGAATAACATATTGTTAAGACCATCTGTGCAGTATATGTGATTGAACCCCATTAAGATTTCTATATGAACTCTTTATTTTTTAATATTTATTTATTTATTTATTTATTTATTTGACACAGAGAGAGATCATAAGGAGGTGGAGAGGCAGGGGGAAGCAGGCTCCCTGGTGAGCAGAGACCCCAATGTGGGGCTCCATCCCAGGACCCGGAAATCATGACCTGAGCTGAAGGCAGAGGCTTATCCCACTGAGCCATCCAGGCACCCCTCTATATGAACTCTGAAGATTCTGGTGGGCAAGTGCAGAGATCTACTTGTCCTGTGGTCACTCGAGACAAGCCTCGTAGGTAAGCAGCCTTGCTTATTACAACTGCTACCTACCGATCTGAAGAGGTCTGCATCTTTCTTCAGTCTCTCCTTGCCCTCCATGTATGGGGCCAGTTTCACATTTCACCTAGAGAACTCCCATGTTTGCAAATCAACACAATTGTCTGCCAACACCTTGGGCAACCTGGGCAAAACTTACAAATTCCTAGAAACACAAAACTACCAAGACTGAATCATGAAGAAATAATAAATCCAAATAGACCGTAAGGAGTGAGGAGAGTTCATGAGTAATCAAAACCCTCCTGACAGAGGAAAGCACTGGACCTGGTGGCTTCACTGGTGAATTCTATCAAACATTTAAAGAAACACTAACACCTGGGTACCCAGCTGGCTCAGTCAGAAGACCTTGCAGCTTCTGATCTCAGGGTCATGAGTTCCAGCCCCATGCTGGGTGTAGAGATTACTAAATAAATGAATAAACAAGCTTTTAAAAAATAAATAAAGAAAAAAAACACCAATCCTTCTCAAATTCTTCCAAAAAATTGAAGAGGAGGGAGCACTTCTTAACTCATTGAGGCCAAAATTGTATTAACATCAAAGCCAGATAAAGACATTGCAAGAAAACAAAACTGTGGAGCACCACCCTTTGTGAATATTGATGCAAACATCCTCAACAAAGTACAGTTGAACAATGCAAGGGTTAGGTAGGGGCGCCGACTCCCTCATAGTCAAAAATCCACGTATAACCATTGACTCCTCAAACCTTATAGCATACTGTTAACAGAAGCCTTACCAACAATAGAAACAGTTGACGAATACATATTTTTATGTTATACTATATTCTTAAAGTAAGCTAGAGAAAAGAAAATATTAAAAAATCATCATGAGAATACATGTACAGTACTGTACTATACCCACCCCAAAAAAGTCCATATATAAGTGGGCCTGTGTGGTTCAAACCTGTATTGTTCGAGGGTCAACTGTACTAATAAATTGAATCCA